AATTATTTCTGATTTCATTTTTCCCAGATCCTCTTTTGTTGCCAGTTCAGAGAGTCCAGGTGGTTGAGTATCATATTGTTCCATCTTGTTTCCCTTTGGGGTTGCTGTAGGTGATCCAGAAGTCTGTTTTTGAGGCTTGTTTACGTGTCTTCTCATTTCCACAAGGGGAGTGGTGCTTCTGGTGCCTGCGTGGCTCACCTTCTCTGCCCAAGAGCTTGGGATGGTGGCGGGGGAGCTTCCTCCAGGGTACTGGGACCAGATTACCTTCTCTGCCCTAGGAGCTTGGGATGGAAGCTGGGGAGCTTCCTTCTGGGTACTGGAACCAGATCACCTCTGACCTAGGAGCTTGGGATGGCGACGGGGGAGCTTCCTTCCAGGTGCTGGGACCAGCTCACCTTCTCTGCCCTAGGAGTTTGGGATGGTGCGGGAGGAGCTTCCTCCTGGGTACTGGGACCGGATTACCTTCTCTGCCCTAGGAGCTTGGGATGGCCGCTGGGGAGCTTCCTTCCGGGTACTGGGACCAGATCACCTTCTCTGACCTAGGAGCTTGGGATGGTGGCGAGGGAGCTTCCTTCCAGGTGCTGGGACCAGCTCGCCTTCTCTGCCCTAGGAGCTTGGGATGGCAGCGGGGGAGCTTCCTTCTGGGTGCCGGCTGTTCTATGATACCTTTACTGCTAAGGTGAAGCTCTTTTGAGAGTTCTCCCTGATGCCCCTTGAATTGTAGGATCTTTGTACCTTTGGTTGGTGGCATCCCAAACTATACCCAGCTTGTTGTGAGTGTCAGGATTTGTTTTCCCCACTTTCTGATATTTTTATTCCCTAGCCATGTAGCTTTTTATCCCAAGCATGCACAGATCATCATTGAGTCAGATTCTTGGACAACCCTCTGTGGATCTGTGGAATTCTTCTGGCTATGCAGATCCTTTCTCTCTGTTACCCTGTTCTACAAATTCTAGCCATTCCAACTACTTCAGGTTTGATTTCTGCCTCCTAGACTCAACAGAAGGATTTGGCCTCATTTGGATTTCTCTTTCCTGTGCTGCAATCTGGAAACTTCTTCAGTAGCAGGAAATTGGGGTAATTGTAGGACCTACCTTATCATTTCTCCTGTCACGGTTTATAGTCTCATATTACCTCTTGACCAGTGTCTGAAAATGAACATTTGATTTATGTTGTCCTGTCTGTTAGTTTTTTATAGAAGGAGGGCAGTTGGCATAGGAATTAAACATTTTTGGGCTGAAGTGGAAATTATAGTAGGAGTAATTGGCAGAAATGAGAAGAGGTTGTTGGGTTTATGACTTTATAAATGGTACATTTTTATAAAGATCAGGGACTTCTGAAATGGGAGGCAAAAGACCAATAGAAATGTGAAAGGTCAGTGGACTGAGATGCAGAGTTTTGGATGGTGTAGTCCACAATACAGTCCCCTAAGAATCAGGTATAATGATGGATGAGATGGTCTGCAGATGTATTTATAAAGGGAAATAGCTAAATGAGATTTCTAGAGAATCAGCTCATGAAAGAAATAATTGCAAAACATTTTTAAGTACATAAGAAAAAACACCCTGGCAAAGTTAGTTTAGCTCACAAATAGAAAATTTGTGAGCATTAATTTATCTTTGATTTTTCCTTTTCAAAAAGCATTTTTAAAAAATGTAAAATAGAATCAATTCATTTTGCAAAGCTATTGTATGTTTTGTCCCTCTTGGTAATTACTTTAATGTGTAAAAAGCACCTAGGAGCATGGTAGCTTTTACTATTATGACTGTGTGAAATTAATAAATGGATTATAGTTCCTTGCTTGTGTCCTTGTCAAGATGAAGTGGTAAAAATAAAACCAGAACAAGCTATTTCTGACCTTGCAGATAAACTAGAACCTTTGTTTCAAAGAGTAAATTGAGCTGCTACTTCTGACAGTCATTTCTCTACTAGGAGATTATTCTGATTATCACACTTAAAGAAGAGTTTCTAAACACTTTAAAACCAGTGAATCTAAAAATAAAAACTGTATTTTCTTTTTCCTCTTGAAGTAAGTTAGTGGTTTTAATTTTGAATAATGTGGACGTGTGAAGTAACTTATTGTTTCGTGCTGTAGGCTCTTCGTTACTTGGCAGAATGTCGTGTGAACAGGGAAAAGATGAAAGGAGAATTGGGTATGATGTTAAGCTTGCAAAATGTTATACAAAAGTAAGTACAATAGATAGTGACCTATCCCTATTATGGTAGAAAATGGATCTTATTAAATGTAAACTATTAGCATAAATTTATAGAAGTTTTATGTGTTTTTTGTTGTTGTTTTGTTTTGTTTTTTGAGACAGAGACTTGCTATGTAGCACAGGCTGGCCTTGAATTTGGGGCAGTTCTTCTTTAGCCTCCTGAGTGCTGGGATTATAAGTGTATGCCATGATCCCAGGCTCTATTTTCTTATTTTTTAATTTATTTTATTTTAAAATTTTCTAATTATAGACATACTTTTATAGGTTATATGTCTAAAAATGTTTTGATAATTAATCTTATGGTTATTACTCTGATATTAATAATACTCCCAATAAAAATGTTCAGATTTTATTATTTATTTATATGTTTATTTTGTGGTACCAGCGATTGAACCCAGCCAGGACTTTTGCACTTAACCACATCCTCAACGTTTGTTATTTTTTATTTTGAGGCAGAGTCTAACTAAGTTGCCCAGGTGGCACTCAAACTTGTGATCTTCATGACTGAGTCTCCCAAAGTTCTTGGATTACAGTCATGCCCTACCATCAGCTTCAGATTTTGTTTAAAATATGTTTATAACACTTTTATTTTCACCTTAAATTTTATTTAAAATATGCTTATAACACTATTACATATAATTTTTCTAAAAAAAAATAACATTCTAACATTGTAAGAAGTTTTATCGTATGTAAGTAGTAGAGCAACAAAATGACTAATCACATTTGACAATATGCAGTATTATAGTATGGTATAATATTCTTTTGTTAATTCATCCTAGTTTTACTCAAAATAACCATCAGAATCATGATAATTAAGTTTTTTGGTGAGATTTTCATGAATCTCAATGAGAGGTCTCTTAGAGGCTTAGAACCATTAATTTGATTTTTTAGCCAATGAGCATCTTGCTAGGCTTGTGGTTTTATGACATATACAATACATGGTTTGTAAAAGACATGTAAAATTGTAAGTTAAGAAACAGAATCAGTTTGAATGTGCTAAGAAATCGCTTTCTTAAAAAAGCTAATAATATGAATGATCCTATCTTTGCTTTCTCTTTTTTGATTTTTTACATATTCTGTTTTCTTGAAGTTCAGGGTACTTTCACCTTGAGAACTGAATGTTAGTTATAATCCAACGACATGTTATAACCTTTTACTGTTTGGTTTCCTATAAGTGTTTTTGGTGAAGTATGCTTTTGTACCACAATATAGATTTTGAATGTTAATGAATGATGGGTTTAAAACAAAATTAGAAGACTGCTACAGAGTAGATGTCTTTTATGAATTACTGCTTTTAAATTTAAATTGCTTTCTTTTAGAGACAAGATCTCTATATACCATAGGCTGGCCTTAAATTTGCTGTGTAACCCAGGCTGGCCTCAAACTCTTGATTCTCCTGCCTCAGCCTTCCAAGTGCTGGGTTTATAGGTCTGCCACCACACCTGATTTACATTATTCATTTAATTTGAATAAGGCATCAGTGTGAAGGAAATAAGACTCCTCAAAGTTGAGAAATAAAGTTACAAAATCAGTAGAAATGACTGATTTATTAATGTATTTGTGTTTTTTCAAGGACTACAACTCCAGGAGAAACAAAACTTCTGGCCTCTGAAGTCTATGACATTCTTCAGTCTTCCAGTATGGCAGATGGTGATAGTTTTAATGAAATGAATTCACGTCGGAGGAAAGCTCAATTTTTTCTAGGAACTACAAACAAACGTGCCAAAACGGTGGTTTTGCACATAGATGGTCTTGATGATACGGTAAGAATTATATAAATGTGTGGTTCATAAGATGGGAAAGAGAAATCATATCAGCTAGACATTTTCTTCAGTGTGAGTTGCTAATTGTCTTTAAGAGTAAGTTCCATAGGGCCGGGGATTTAGCTCAGTGGTTGTGTCGCCTACTCTGCAAGCTCAAGGACCCGAGTTTGATCCCCGGTACCCCCCAGAAAAGTAAGTTCCATTATCTGTGTTTTACACTGTACTAAAGGGGTCAGTTAATCAAACATAGCAATTTTATTTTATTTTTTGTTTTTTTGAAACAGGGTCTCACTATGTAGTTCAGGCTGGCCTGGACCTCACTATGGAGCCCAGGCCAGCCTCTAACTCGTAGTGCTCTTCCTGCCTCAGCCTCTCGAGTGCTGGGAGTACAGTCATATGCCACCATGGTGACATAGAAATTTAAAATATTTATAGCACTAATTACAGAACTTCAAAATATATGAAGCAGAAACTGACAGAAATGCAAGAAGAAACAGATTCACAGATTTAGAGATTTCATTACCACATTCTACATTAATAGGACAAATATACAGAAAATCAGACCTTATAAGACTTGAATAATGCTTCCAATCAACTTAAACCTAATTGATATTTATGGAACACCCTATCCAGCAACAGGATAATATTCATATGCACAAGAAAAATTTACTAAAAGAGACCATATTGTTGGCCGTATAACAAGTCTTAATAAATTTTAAAAGTTTAAAACCTTACATACTGTCCTCTAAGCACTATGAAAGCAAATTAGAAATAGTAACAGAAAGATACCTGGAAAATTCCTCCAAAATTTGTGAAACTAACATATTTCTAAAATAATCCACGGATTAGTGAATAAATTAAAAGAGAAAGCACCCTAAATTGAATAAAAATGAAAGTATAACATCAAAATTTGTGGATAGCAGACAAAACAGTGTTTAGAATAGAAATCCATTAGCACCAGTGTCTGAATTTTATACACAAAACAGCAAAGGTATCAAATTGATAACTTAAGCTTCTTCTTTAAGAAGTTACCAAATGAAGAGCAAATTAAACTTGAAATAAACAGAAGATAGGAAACAACAGAAATCAGTGAAATGAAAAACATAAAGAAATTAACAAACTCCAAAGCAGGTCCCTAATATCAAGGAAATAGGTAAAACCCTAGCCAACTGATTAAGAATAAGAGAAGTTACAAATTATCAAAATGAGAAATGAAAGAGGACATAACAGTAGATATTAAAAGGATAACAACTAAAGAAATTTATTTTAATAAATTTGATAACACTTTCTTGAAAGATACAGAGTAGAAAATCTCAAGAAGAAATAACTTGATTAGGTATTTATTAATGAAATTAAATTTGTAGTTAAAACCTTCTTAGAAAATTTCTGGCCCAGATAGCTTCACTAGTAAATTGTACTATTTAAGGAAGGAGTAATACCAGTTGCATAAAATCTTTTAGAATACAAGATCCCGAGTTCGATCCCTGATACCAAAAAAAAAAAAAATCTTTTAGAATACTTTAGTGCTTCAGTGGTTGTTCTGTATAATTTGTGCTTCCTTCTAAAGTCGTTTTATTTGCTCTTTGTATTAGCCTCACAAACTTCCTTTTCATTAGTGTGTATCTTCTAATTGTGTCTGTAGTCTAAGTAATGTCTTCTAGGCATCATATATTTGAATCTTGCTGCTTTATCTATTCTGAACATCTCTGCCTTTTAATTGAAATATTTGGACCACTTACATTTTATGTTTATGTATATGGTTGGATTTTTTAAAAAATCTTAATTACTTTCTAGTTGTCCTATTTCTTCTTTGTTCCTTTTTCCTGTCTTTCTTCCTCCTTTTGGACCAATTAAATGGCTTTTTTTTTTTTTTTTGAGTCAGGGTCTCCCTTTGTAGTTCAGGCTGGCCTTGAACTCACTATATAGCTCAGGCCAGTAGCCT